AGAGACATATGAAAACATGCTCAAAGTCACTAATCATCTGAGAGATGCAAATCAAAACAATAATGAGGTACCATCTCACACCTGTCAGAATGGCTATCATCAACAAATCAACAAATGACAAGTGCTGGAGAGGATGTGGAGAAAAAGGTACCCTCTTGCACTGCTTGTGGAAATGCAGACTGGTGCAGCCACTGTGGAAAACAGTGTGGAGTTTTCCTCAAAAAGTAAAAAATGGAACTCCCATTTGACCCAGTAATCCCACTTCTAGGAATATATCCCAAGAAACCAGGAACACCAATCAGAAAGGATATATGCACCCCTATGTTCATAGCAGCATAATTTATGATAGCTAAGATTTGGAAACAACCTAAGTGCCCATCAGCGGATGAGTGGATTAAAAACCTGTGGTACATCTACACAATGGAATACTACGCCACTATAAAAAAAAAAAGGAACTTTTACCATTTGTAACAGCATGGATGGGACTGGAGAACATTATGCTAAGCAAAATAAGCCAGTGGGAGAAAGATAAATATCACATGATCTCACTGATTTGTGGGATATAATGAACAACATAAACTGATAAACAAAAATAGACCCAGTGACAAGGTAACACTGAAAAGACTGTCCAACCTCAGAGAGAACGTGGGGCAGGGGGAGGGGAGGGGTTAGAGATCAACCAAAGGACTTGTATGCATGCATATTAGCATAACCAATGAACACAGACACTGGGCGGTGGAGGCTAGCTCTCGGGGTGGGAGTGGCTGGTGGGGAGGGATCAATCAGGGAAAAAGGAGACATATGTAAAACTCTAAACAATATATATATACACACACACATACACATATAGTTAAAAGTCTGTCTAGTATATACATGAGGTATTTGGGGGGATTATGTGTGCATAAAAGGGATATGTTAATAAAAGACAGTATCCTATCTAATAATAGACAAACATGGTAATTAACCGTACCTCCGACATGCTTCCCATTGGCTAATCAGGGCGATATGCAAATTAACTGCCAACCAAGATGGCGGCTGGCAGCCAGGCAGTTGAAGTGAACAGGAGGCTTGCTTG